TTCACTCTATCCAAAAATCAACTCAAAATGAATCCTATATCTAAATAAGCTAAAACGAACCAAGCTAAAGTGATAAAACTTGTAGGAAATACAGGGTAATATCTTTGGAACCTCATGCTATGCAAAAATTTATTAATGTTAACCAAAAAGTACAATTCACAAAAAAGATCAATGTTATATTTGATTGAAATATAACACTTTTGCTCTTTAAAAGACACAACCAAAAAAATGAAAAACATGCCACCGACTTGGAGAAAATATTTACAAACCACACAATGACTTGGCATTAATCATCTATTACTGTGTAGCAATGACCCAGAACCTTAGCAGTTTAAAGCTGAAATCTGGTTGCAGCTGTTAGCCACAGCTGCTGTCATGTCAAAGCAGGACTAGGACTACAGAATCTTCCAAGGTCACTCACAGGCTTCAGTTCCTTGCAAGTTGTTAGCTAGTTGTACTATTTACTGGAGCTGCTGTAGCAAAGTGGCACAGATTGAATGGCTTAATGCAAAAAAAATAAAAATAAAAAAAAAATAAATAAATAAATAAATATATATATATATATATATATATATATATATATATACACACACACACACACACACACACACATTTTCTCACATTTCCAGAAGGTAGAAGTCCAAAAGCAAGGTACCAGCAAGTTTTTGTTTTTTCCTGAGGCCTTTCTTGCTGGTGAGTAAATGACTGCCTTCTCACCATGTCTTCACATTCTATTTTTCTATGTGCATTCATTACTGGTGTCTCTTGTTCATGTCCAAATTTCTTCTTCTTTTAAGAACATCAGTCAGACTGGATAAAAGTACACTCTAAGTGCCTCATTTTAACTTAACCATCCCTTTTATATACCTTATCTCCAAATTCTGACATACTGGGGGTTAGGGCTTCAACATATGAAATTTTAGGGGATTCAGCTGAGCCAGAGTCTCCAGCTTCACATGGATCTCTCTGAAGGGCTACTCACAACATGGCAGCTTGGTTCCCCCAGAGTGAGTGATCTAAGAGACAGAACAAATAAGCAAGTGTGAAAGACATAAATCATAGCCTTTTTCAAACCTAATTTCAGAATGCCATAGTTTGGATCTGAACTATCCCCAAAGGCCCATATAATGAAACCCTTTTTCCTCAACTTGGTGCTTAAAAGTTATGGAAACCTTTAAGAGGTGAGGTTTACTGGGAGCTTTAGGTCATTAGAGATGTGTTCTTGAAGGGGACTGTGGGACACTGGACCCTTCCTCTCTCTTTCTTTCACTTCCCAGCCTCCATTAGCTGAGCAGCTTCCTCTGCCATGTGCTCTCACTATGATATGCTGCCTCATCAAGGCTCAAAAGCCATGGGTCAACTGCCCATGGGCTGACATCTTTAAAATAAATCGTTTCTATTTTTAAGTGAGCCAAAATAAACCTTTCCTCTTTTTAACTTGATTATCGTAGGCATTTGTTACATCAACAGAGAGCTTACAATTATGGTTTAGACCTTTAATGACACCTGAAAAGTTCATGTGGTAGGCAATGCAGAAATGCTCAGAGAAATGTTTAGATTGTGACAAATGTGACCTCATCAGTGAATTAATCCATTTAACGGATTAATAATTTGAATGGACTACTGAGTGGTAACTGTAGGTAAGCGGGCATGGCTGAAGGCAATAGTTCAATGGGGGTGTGCCTTTGAACTCTATCTTGTCTCTGCCTCTCTACTCCCCTCCCTTCCATTCCCTCCTTACCTCCCTCTCACCCCTTTGTAGAAGCCATGAGCTGAGCAGCTTTCTCTGAAATACTGTTACCTTTGAGATATCCAGTTGAAGTTTAGGTCCTTGGTGTCCTGAACAAAGAATTGAATGAGACACACAGAAGTAACGGATGTAGTACAGATTTATTGAAGGTGAAGATAACACTCCACTAGGTAGAACAGAGTGGGCTGAGAGAGGCGCTCAAGGACCCAATGTCTTCAAATTCAGGTCTTGTATTCTAAACTGTGGGGCATTCTTGTCCCTATACATACCTGATTGAAGATCTTACCCCATTTTCTCCCATTGGTTATCTTATGATCCCAATTTCCCCACATTGGTTACTTTAGAAAACATTTTTAGAATACTGCCCACTTTACTTCCATTGGTCATTTTAAAATTTGAACTCTGGTGAGAGTTGTCATGTGATAAGTCCTCAGTGGAGTTGTGGTAATGAGATTGATTAAAACAGGGACAGAACTCGCCTCCTTGTCCTCTAGCGGCTTCTTTCTAGTACCCCACCTCTACCATCTTGGTGTCCCTGAACTCCTACATAATAATACCTTTCCTCCTTGAGGTTCTGCCTCACTTTGGGCCCAGAGCAATGGAGTCAGCTGACCATGTGCTGAGGCCACTGAAACCATGAGCCCAAACCATAAGCCTTTTATTCTCTTAAGTTGTTTTTGTCAGGTATTTTGGTCACAGTGACCAAAGGCTGACTAACACACACAAGTAATATAATATTCTATTCTATGTTATCAGTAACAGACTAATTCTGGAATAAAGTAGTAACATTCTACACATTGATACGACTAGCCTCTTGAAATCTTGGAGAACATCTTGTTATCTGTCTACCACAAATCTGTATACATAATACATGGAGACTACTATAATTTGATAATAAAGAGACAAGTGAATTAAAATGGGCAAAATGCTTCAATAAACATTTCACTAAAGGAAATACACAAATGGCCAGTTAGCATATAAAAAGATGTCAACAACACTTAAGGAATGAAAATTGAATTAACAATGAGATACTACTACATACCCATAATAAAAAAAAAAATAGTGCCAAATGTTGACAAAGATACAGAGAAACTGGAACTCTCAACCAGTGGAAATGTAAAATGGTATAGCCACTTTAAAAAACAATATGGCCATTTCTTAAAAATTAAACCTAAACTTATCATATGACCAACTGCCACGTATCTTTTCAAGGAAAATAAAAATATCCAGATAAAAAGTTGTATATTAATATGGAAACAGTATTAATTATTCATAATATCTGGAAACCTCCAAATGCCCATCAACTAGTACATGAATGAACAATGTGGTACATTCCTATAATGGAATATTATTCATCAATATAAAAGGAACAAACCACTAATACATGCTACACCAGGAATGCTTTCTCTATTTTAAACTCTTTTCCTAATGTTAAGAGTAATCCAGCTTAAAGACCTATACATGGGCACAGGTCTGTAATTCCAGAGAACTGGAAGTCTGAGCCAAGAGAATTGAAAGTTTGAAGGCAGCCTCAACAACTTAGAGATAACCTGTCTGAAAATTAAAAAAAAAAAAAAATCCAAAGGTTGGGGATATAGCTCGGTGGTAAAATGTCCTCAGTACAAAAAGGAAAAAAAAATCCAGTCAAATTTTCTTTGACTCCAAGGGCAACTGGCACCTGTAAGTATCCCAGCAAGAGACTAACTGATATGATTTCTCTGGAAACTTCCTCTTCACAACTTAAAAAGGGGATTTTACTCAATTCGCTATACTTATTTTAATGTTTCTTTCAGCACTATTCAATCAGTAGTGGCCCAACTAAGATTCCAAAATTACCTCAGGGTTAGGGATGTAGCTTGATGGTAGAGCTGTACACTTAACAAGTGTGAGGTCTTGAGTTTGATTCCCCAACACTGCAGCAACAATTACTTCTCTTCCCCATTCTTCTCATTGACTCAAAAATTCCATTCCCTAACCTATGTGTGAATAGCCTGCAAATTAACAAGACCTGAAGGGTTAGCACAAAGCATTCTACAGATAAGAAGCCATTTCTTTGAAATTTCCTCACACAGGGAGGAAAAATATTTATCTTTTTTATATTTTATTGATTCTTTTTAGTTATGTAAAACATTAGGATACATTTTTGACATATCACAAAAGCATGGCATATAATTTGCTCTAATTCTGTCCCCAGCACTTCAACAACCCCTACTTTCCCCTACTCTCCTCCTTCTACTGATTTTTCTGCTATTTATAACTTCTGTGTGTGTGTGTGTGTGTGTGTGTATTTTGAGAGACATTAAGTGAAAATTAATGTCTGATTAATTTAGTGCCTAATGCTCAAAGCATAGTAATAATTTTTAAAAATTCTTGAAACTGATGCAAGGGTAGTATTTGTTTTTGAAAGTGCATGTATGTGTAGTTCTATTCCTGTGCATTGAACTTTTGCCCCAGTCTTTAAATAGAGATATATATTAAGAATATGTATTCTGAGAGTCTTGTAGAATGCTAAGAATGGAGAACAAGCTGATACAGGCTATTGTTGATTGAGTTGAAAGAATAAAAGTCAATACCCCTTTCCTACCTGAAACCTAACAGATTCCCGGTAGTAATAGCTACTAGATACTGACTTTGTGTGAGTCGCCCCGAGCTTCGTGATTTCATGTAATCTTTGCAATAACATTAAGAGGTCTGTAATGCCACCATCCCTAGTGTATAGGTGAAAACATTGAAGCTTGGAGAGACATGACATCAGGTGCGTCCTCCATTCTCAAACAAGATTAGTTTTAACCCGGTGTGGGGGCACACGCCTCATCCCAGCAGCTTGGGAGGCTGAGGCAGGAGAAGTGCACGTTCAGACTAGTTCAGAAACTTAACCAGGCCCTAAGCAATTTAGCAAGTCCCTGCCTCAAAAATTATAATAATAATAAAAAGGGCTAGGATGTGGCTCAGTGGTTAAGTATCCCTGGGTTCAATCCTTGGTACCAAAAAAAAAAAAAAAAAAAAAAAAAAAAAGATAAGGATTAGATTTAACTGTTCATACAGATTAGGGTGGGTCTTCCCATTGTAAGATTAAAGAGTTTCAGCTTTCTTTGTAAACACCGCACCGCCAGAAGAAGCCTCCTCAGGCAAGGGTGAAGTGGGATTAACAGTGGGCGTGGCTTTACAAGATTTTCTTAAGGGATGGGTCTGGACCGCTGCTAGGCCGTAAAGAACTCAACAGGTCGTGAAGTGTCGTGGCGCGGAAGCTTTGCTTCACGGCAGTCCCGGCCAGCGAGCCAGGCTGCGCTCGCAGCTTCCGACTTCTTTTCTCCACATGTGTGGTGCTTTCGTAGTTCTGCCCAGTAATTCTTACTGTTAGCGTGGTGCAGCTACGTCGAAGAACAGAGTGGCAGCGTAGCTGATGGAGTTTGCCGTTGAAGCTGAAGAGACTTCGGGAGGAGTTCTCCAGAGGGTAGCTGAGGGGGTGCGCCTGAGTCCCGAGTCCGGTAGGGAGGGAGTCAGGGTCTTAGCAGGGATGGAGGAGGCCAGTGGTGGAGAGAAGGGGAAAGGATTTACAGGAAGGAAGAAGACAGAGAATGCAAAAGAAGGAAGTGGGCAAAAAGCAGAGGAGATGCGAATGGACTTAACAATTGTAAAGCAAGAAGTCGTGGACTGGTCGGATATAGAAGGCGGCTTGTTGAATGGCCAGTGGGTAAAGCAGGAGGTGGAGGATGGACCTGAGGTGAAGGATGAGAAAACTGGCATATTAGAGGTGAAGCAGGAAGTGGATAATAGTAGTTTGGTGGTAAAAGAAGAGAAGGTGGATGAACTAGGGGTAAAGGAAGAGAAGGTGAAGGTGAAGGAAGAAGTAATGGACTGGCCAGAAGTGAAGGAAGAGAAGGAGGATTACTTGGAGATAAAACAGGAGATATTTGTTGGTCAGGATATAAAAGAGGAGGAGATGATGGATGGAGCCTGTGTAAAAGAAGAGAAGGATTTCATGAAGAAAGAAATGATGGAAGACACAAAAGTGAAAGAAGAGCCTGAGATCAATCCCCCATTGGGCTGCAAGAGGAAACTGGCCATGTCAAGGTAGGGCAGGGAGAAATTCCCCTGGGTGATTAAAGCTGTGGAGTCCTCTGTTTAGTGATGGGACCCACACTAACAGTAGATGAAATGTGAAAAATAGACACAAATTTGAGTCCCTTGACTCAGAGTGATGTTGTGCAGAAAGGGTTAGAGAAGGGAAGGGTATTTTGAGATAACAAATTCAGTGAAAATATGTGAAGTGGTAATGATCAGGAAGTACTGGTCAAGTTAGGAAGCGAAAGTTCTGGAAACCAGAAGACACCTTGGGATCAGTATCTGACTAACTTTTATATACTTTAGACCCAGTAGTCTTTTGAAACAGGATATAGATGAGAGAAAGTCTTATAAAACCAACATTGACAAGGTGGATTGAATTAAAATTTAACAAAAATGCTCTTGAAGCCAAATGTAAAACTTGTGTATGGGTACTTTGAATATTGCTTTTCTTTTTAGTGTGTGATCATGTGACAACATAGAAAATCAAATTGTGGTCAGATTCTTGGGACTATTACTATCTAGAACATGGGTGAATCATACAGAAGTAGCAGTAATTTGATTGTCAGTATTCCAAGATCCTAGAAGAGGGTTGAGGACAGATGATGGTTAATAGTATTTCTAGATAATTTTGATGCTCATTCTCAGTTAGATGTAGAGCTGTGAGAAAAAGAAATTACTAATACTCTCTTTAAATATGGCTGGCTTTTATGCTATTTTTTTTTTCTGGTGTGTATACTTTTAAAATATCAGAGAGCATAGCTCAGACTTCTAGATACAGTCACACAGTTTTTACCAGATTACCCAGAATACAAGTCACAAATAACAGTGAATGATCTCATTTCCTGATAAAAGTACAGAAAAAATGTCTGATTTAAAAAAATTAATGTTTTCTTAGCAATAACATTTACTACATTGTAAATGTAGTCATTTGGAGATGATTTCATAGAGAAATTTCAGTATTTGACAGCTGTTAAATATTTTATCAAACTTGTTTGCACATACTTTATTCACTGTGACTACCTACCTAAATTGTGACAAGTCATTGAATCAGCAAAATTTATAAATAGATAAGTAGAATTAATTTTTGATAATGTTATGTGTGGGCTTTTGTAGGTGTGAAACTTGTGGTACAGAAGAAGCAAAGTACAGATGTCCACGTTGTATGCGATACTCCTGCAGGTATATGTGTGTATGTATGTAACTTCTTACCTTATTACCTTCTCCAAAATATAAATTTTTGTTTCTTTGTTTCTTCAGTTTGCCCTGTGTAAAGAAACACAAAGCAGAACTGACCTGTAATGGAGTTCGAAATAAAACTGCTTTTGTTTCAATACAACAGTTTACTGAAATGAATCTCCTAAGTGGTAAGCCATCTTATACATAGTTCCTGGATATTGTTATATGTTCCTGGATATTGGTGTATGTCACTTGTTTATTTTTCTATCCTGAAATTTTTAGATTACCGATTCTTAGAAGATGTGGCAAGAACAGCAGACCATATTTCTAGAGATGTTTTCTTGAAAAGACCAATAAGCAATAAACACGTAAGTATTCTTCTAACTCCTTATAGGAGTTAACTTAACAATTCCTTCCAATCAATAAAGACCTGCATCAGGAACAAAGTTGGTGTGTTTGGGAATTGGCAGAGTGACTAAATCATAGTGAGGAAGAGAATGTTGAACATGAGGTTAGAGAAAGGGATAAAGGTTCCCAAGTGAATTCAAAATAAAAAATAGAAACCATAGAAGGGTTTTGAACACGTTTACTTTTTGAAAGATCGCTCGTGCTGCTATGTGCACTTAAGGGTTAAGAGTGGGAGAATGGAAGCAGGGAGACCATTTATAAAGTTATGTGGTATCCACATGAGAGATGATGGTGGCTTGGGTCATGATGTTAGAATTAATTAGGAGGTGATTAGACTCTAGTTTTGATTGAAGAGCTGAGAGGATTTGCTGTTCAAACACACTTAATTTTCTTTTTTTTGTTGTTTTTAATTTTTATTATTGGTTGTTCAAAACATTACATAGTTCTTGACATATCATATTTCATACATTTGATTCAAGTGGGTTATGAACTCCCATTTTTACCCCGTATACAGATTGCAGAATCACATCGGTTACACAACCACGTCTTTACATATTGCCGTATTAGTGTCTGTTGTATTCTGCTACCTTTCCTATCCTCTACTATTCCCCCTCCCCTCCCCTCCCATCTTCTCTCTCTACCCCATCTACTGTAATTCATTTCTCCCCCTTGTTTTTTCGAACACACTTAATTTTCATGCTTGCATCCCTTTTTCATTCCTTAAGCACGATACAAAACTAAGGCTTTCATATTTGAAATATTTTGCAACTGGTATCTCAGAAATTTTTGATATTTTGATTAAGACACAGATTTATGTTCAGTTTTTAGAGGCCATTTTACTATTGAAGTTGCAAAATTTAAATACCCTTTTATTTGTTTTTATTTTTATGTGGTGCTGGGGTTAAAAACCTTACTTTATTGGTATTATAGGTACACATAATACATTACACATGTCAGAAATAAAATTAACATGCATCAACTCATTTTTCCTCAAGCTTAATTAAGCATAATTAAAATTCTACTTAAAGAGAAATTACTTTTTATTGTAAAATACAGCATGCATGTAAAAATGTTAATAAAATGGAAATATAATATAATGGTTAATTATATCGTGAATACCTGTATAATTACTACCCAGATCTAGAATTAGAACATTACCAGCTTCACAGAAATTCTCTGCCACCCTCTTATGCCTTACCCTAATCTGTTGTCTTTTCTGCATAGTTTCTGTCTTGTTACAGTACCATAGTTTATCCATTCTCTTGTTCTTGACTTTGGGTAGTCTGTAATAACCAAAAAAAAAAAAAAGCTACTTTTAATATTTTTATGTGTTGTGTTTATGTATTGTGGTATGGTAGAAACAGTGCTACTCTTCACACTTCTGATGTGCTTTGTGTATGCACATGTTTTTGTAGAGTTTATACTTGAGAGTAGAATTGGTTTGCTGTAATTCATATCTTCAGTTTAACTAGATATGATTGGAACTTTTTTTAAAGTAGTTATACCAGTTTTCATTCCCATCAGTTATTTGTAAATATACCTGTTGTCTCTAATACTTACTTGTTTTGGTCAGACTTTTAAAATTTTTGTCAATCTGTTGGCTATGTATGATCTCTATTGTGTTTTTACATTTGTAATTCGCTGATTTCTGTTGAGATGTAGACACCTTTTTGGACATGTGGATTTCCTCTTTTGTGTAGTGACTGTTCAAGTCTTGTTGATTTTTTTCATTGTTTTACTTTCTTTTTCTTACTGGTTTATAAGAATTCTTTGTATTTCTTAGATGCTAATCAATAATTGATTGTTATAAATACCATGAATTTTATGGCTTATCTTTTCATTTGATAGTGTCCCTTGTGTGTGCCATAGTGGCCATTGAACCCAGGGAGCTCTACCACTGAGCTACATCTCCTTCTCTTCACAGCCCCCTGAGTAGCTGGAATTCCAGACATGTGCTAATGTGCCCAGTTTTATTTTTTATTTTGAGACAGAATCTGGCCAAGTTGTCCAGTCCAGCTTTGAACTTGGGACTTTCCTGCCTCAACCTTCCAAGTAGCTGGGATTACAGGCTTTTGCCACCATGCCCCACTATAGTGTCTTAATGTAGTCAAATTTACCATGTTTCCTTTATAGTTAGTAGTTTTACATGTTCTAGAAAGAAAACCTTTCAGTTATGAAGATATTATCACATGATTTTCTGAAAGCTTTATCATATTGCATTTCACAGTTTTGTCTTTAAACTACCTGGAATTGATTTTTAGCATCATGTAAAGTGAAGTCCTATTTAGCTTTTATATATGTGTAATCCAGTTTGCCTAGCACCATTTACTGGAAAGTTCATCCTGTCTGTACTGCTTTACAGGACCACATTTGTCACATCAGGCATCCATATATTGCTAGGGTCATTTTCTGGTCTGACTATCCATCCTGTTGATGCTTGTCTATCCTGCACAAATATTATAAACTCTCAAATTATCGCAGTGGGTTTTTAATCAATTAAAGTAATTTTTAAATTGATACGCAATTATTATTCATATTTATGGGGTAAGGTAATTAATGTACCTATTGTCTCAAACATTTATCATTCCTTTATGTTGGGGCCACTAGAAATTTTTCTTCTAGTTATTTTGAAATCTAAATAAATTATTGTTAATTATTACATTTCTATACCAATATTAAATATCAGCCTGTTAATTCCACAGGCCTCCCCACTTTCCTTCTTGAGAATTTTGATTTGAGTTGTATTTATTTCAGAGATCAGTTTGGGAGATTTAACTTCTTCACAACATTGAATCCTTAAACTTTTGCTTTTGTTGCTGTGTCTGCATAGAGTCTTCTTTAATATACCTATGTATAGATAATTTTCTCACTAGAGAACTAATACATTTTTTGTTAAATTTATTGCTGGTTATTTTATTGTTTATCTATTTGCAGTGCTAGGGATTGAATCTAGGGCCACTGCTTGCAAGGCAAGCACTCTACTATTGAGCTACATCCTCAGCCCTTTTGGTGCTCTTTTAAACAGGACTTTTAATTTTTTATTTTCTCTTGACCAATACATAGAAATGAGATTTTTTGTTGTTTATTTTATAGTGAGCAACCATATTAAAATTCAGTACATTATTTACATATTCTTTGAAATTTTCTCTATAAACAATTCATCACAGTTTTTTTTTTTTTTTTTTCCTAATCTGTCTTTCTTGCCTTATTGGAATATCTAAGAATTCCAATTCAACTTAAATACTAGTGATGATAGGAAATATCTATGTTGAAAGTCCTCTTAGACCACCTCAGGTTTGATGATTTGTGAGAAAGTTTCATAGGAATCAACATATAGTTGTACTTCCACCTAAAATGTATTGTGGTGAAAGTTAGCTTGGATTGTTCTTACTTTGTTCTTAGATGCACTGACTGATATTGGAATTATTTCTTCCCTGGGAATTTGATAAAAATTATTAGTCAACCAACATGGAGTTTGGACAATGAGATATATTCTTTCCTATTTTATGGGACTGTTCAGGTTCTGTGTTTGTTGTTGTTGCTTTTTAATTACATCTGTACTGAAGAAGTAGAGATTTTTTTTCCTTGTCATTATTCCCTAAACATTATCTCTTAACAAATATTTGCTTTGTATTAGGTAATTATAAGTAGCCTAGCAATGATTTTAAGTGGTTAGGCGGAATTGCAGAGGTTATAAACAGATACTATGCCATTTATATAAGGGATTTAAGCATCCTCATATTTTGGTGTTCATAAGAGTTCTAGAACCAGTTTTCCACAGATACTGAAGGACAAGTGTATGTCCTTTTTAGGTCAAGTTTGTTAAGTATGTTGTTCCGATTCCTTATAACCTTGATTTTTTTTTTCTTTTTTTATCTGCTTCTATTTGATTTCTGTGAGAGTTATGTTATCATGTCCCAGTAAGTAAAGCCAAACAATCAATTTCTAGTTTCCCTTTGTTGTTCAGTTAGTTTTGCTCTTATACTTTAAGACTAAAATATTAAATGCATCAGGAATTATTTCTTGGTGTAGTTAATTTTGAGTTATCCTTCTTTGTAGATTTTTGTCTACTTTGTTCAATATTAATAAAACTTTATTAGTTCTTTGCCAGTATTTGCATGGTGGAGTTTTCTTCCTTGCTATTACTTTCTACCTTTTTCTACTTTTATGTTTTGAATAGGTCTTATGTTAAGTTCGTACCATAGTCATGTTCCAGTTTTTAGCTGATCTGCCAATGTGTAACATTTAACTGAATCATTGTGTTCATTTTAATAAAATTAGTTACATATTAGGCCTTAATTTGTCACTTTATTTGTGCTGTTTGTCCCATTTGTTTCATATTGCCTTTGGACAGATTGAATTTTGTTTTTTTGTTTTGTTTTTTTTGTCTTTTTAAGCCATATGATTTCTGTCAAAACTACTTCATTCTTTTTTAAAAAATAGTTGTTGATTTTTTTAAGTTAGTGTGTGCATTACAGGAAATAGACAACACAAGCAAAGAAAAAAGTCATCTAGTCACAAGCAGCTTAGTTGGACATGTCCTTCTAGGACCTGCATATATATATATATATATATATATATATATATATATGTATATATATATATACACACACACACACATATATGCAACATTTCATTTTGTGTAATTGAGATCATAGTGTGTTCGTGCTTTCCTGCACATCATGAATATTCACCAATTCAAATTCCAAAGCTACATGAGTATTTTTGATAACCTAGAGCACACTATAGCAACTCAGTCTGTTAGGAAAAAATTTAATCTTGTCTTTCCTGGGGACAAAAATTTCACTAAAGCCAGAAATGAAAACAGGCTTCTAGATAGACATATTGGCAGAGTTACAACTAAAATAATGCATTCCCTTAAAATTTAAAAATGAGACATAAAGCAACAGATACCAAATATAATGTTTCTAAGAGAGTTCATTACCAGGTTTCTACTACTAAAATAGTAGCAAGAAATCATCTTCCAAGTGAATTAAAAGTATTTCTACAATTCAGTATGAAAATGCACACACATCAGTAGTAGCTCACATCAAAATGTAAATCTTTGAACACTTGCTCCCATTTTTACCTGTGTGCTTCCTTCTGCCCCTCTGTTGCCAGCCTGATAAACAAGTTCTGATACTCACTGCCCAGAGTTAAAACAATTTCATATCTAAGATGCATCTATCCTATCAGTTATGCCAAAAAGATATTTACAAGTTGTCTAATTCACTAGCTCTTCTTTTTAATAATACTCTGTCAACCTCAGGACATCTAGAAAACTTAGATGTTATGAAATAAAGTATTAACTTTGTGCACAATAAGCATAAGTTCTTTACCAAAAATGCATGCATAAATCTGTGCTTATAATCTATAGCCATAGATTCTTACAGAAATGGAGATACTAGCAAAGAGCCCTTCCCCTTACCATTCCAGTGACTAAAGAACTACTTCACTTTTGGTCCTGCAGCACTTGTTCCTGCAGCAAAATAGAGGGCATACACAGCATAAACAAATGGGCCAGCCTATATTCCAATAAAACTTTATATGTGAAAATTGGCAGCAGGCTGGATTGGGGTCAGGGCACCATTTAGCCCTGTACTGGCTTGTTTTATTGTTTTCAGGTATCTAAATTGTCTTTTTTTAAAAAATCCCTATGTAGTAATTACTATTTTATCAGTCAGTGTTTATTTTGTGTTATCTTCATGTTTTCCATTTTCTTTTGTCTTTATTCTTTTTTTTTCTTTTATTGGTTGTTCAAAAAATTATAAAGCTCTTGACATATCATATTTCATACATTAGATTCAAGTTGGTTATGAACTCCCAATTTTACCCCAAATACAGATTGCAGAATCACATCGGTTACACATCCACATTTTTACATAATGCCCTATTAGTAACTGTTGTATTCTGCTACCTTTCCTATCCTCTACCATCCCCCCTCCCTCCCCTCCCATCTTCTCTCTCTACCCCATCCACTGTAATTCATATCTCTCCTTGTTTATTTTCCCATTCCCCTCACAACCTCTTATATGTAATTTTGTATAACAATGAGGGTCTCCCTCCATTACCATGCAATTTCCCTTTTCTCTCCCTTTCCATCCCACCTCATGTATCTGTTTAATGTTAATCTTTTCTTCCTGCTCTTCCTCCCTGCTCTGTTCTTAGTTGCTCTCATTATATCAAAGAAGACATTTGGTATTTGTTTTTTAGGGATTGGCTAGCTTCACTATACATAATCTGCTCTAGTGCCATCCATTTCCCTGCAAATTCTATGATTTTGTCATTTTTTAGTGCTGCGTAATACTCCATGGTGCATAAATGCCACATTTTTTTTATCCATTCATCTATTGAAGGGCATCTGGGTTGGTTCCACAGTCTAGCAATTGTAAATTGTGCTGCTATGAACATCGATGTAGCAGTATCCCTGTAGTACGCTCTTTTAAGGTCTTCAGGGAAAAGTCCAAGAAGGGCAATAGCTGGGTCAAATGGTGGTTCCATTCCCAGCTTTCCCAGGAATCTCCATACTGCTCTCCAGATTGGCCGCACCAGTTTGCAGTCCCACCAGCAATGTACAAGTGTACCCTTTTCCCCACATCCTCTCCAGCACTTGTTGTTGTTTGACTTCATAATGGCTGCCAATCTTACTGGAGTGAGATGGTATCTTAGGGTAGTTTTGATTTGCATTTCTCTGACTGCTAGAGATGGTGAGCATTTTTTCATGTACTTGTTGATTGATTGTATGTCCTCTTCTGAGAAGTGTCTGTTCAGGTCTTTGGCCCATTTGTTGATTGGGTTATTTGTTTTCTTATTGTTTAATTTTTTGAGTTCTTTGTATACTCTGGATATTAGGGCTCTATCTGAAGTGTGAGGAGTAAAAATTTGTTCCCATGATGTAGGCTCCCTATTTACCTCTTTTATTGTTTCTCTTGCTGAGAGAAAACTTTTCAGTTTAAGTAAGTCCCATTTGTTGATTTTTGTTATCAACTTTTGTGCTATGGGTGTCCTATTAAGGAATTTGGAGCCCGACCCCACAATATGTAGATCGGAGCCAACTTTTTCTTCTATCAGACGCAGAGTCTCTGATTTGATATCTAGCTCCTTGATCCACTTTGAGTTAACTTTTGTGCATGGCGAGAGGAGGGGATTCAGTTTCATTTTGTTGCATATGGATTTCCAGTTTTCCCAGCACCATTTGTTGAAGATGCTATCCTCCCTCCATTGCATGCTTTTAGCCCCTTTATCAAATATAAGAAAGTTGTAATTTTGTGGATTAGTCTCTGTGTCCTCTATTCTGTACCATTGGTCCACCCTCCTGTTTTGGTACCAGTACCATGCTGTTTTTGTTACTATTGCTCTGTAATATAGTTTTAAGTCTGGTATCGCTATACCGCCTGAATCGCACTTCCTGCTTAGAATTGCTTTTGCTATTCTGGGTCTTTTATTTTTCCATATGAATTTCATGATTGCTTTATCCATTTCTACAAGAAATGCCGTTGGGATTTTGATTGGCATTGCATTAAACCTATAGAGAACTTTGGGTAATATCGCCATTTTGATGATGTTAGTTCTGCCTATCCATGAACAGGGTATATTTTTCCATCTTCTAAGATCTTCTTCTACTTCTCTTTTTAGGGTTTTGTAGTTTTCATTATATAAATCTTTCACCTCTTTTGTTATTTGACCTGTTCCAGTCAAATAATACAAGTCTCTTAGGATGGTCTGGGGGTAAACTTGTTTTCTGTTCACCTGTATCTATATTATTTTGACATTTTGCTTAATTTGAGTAGAGATTCTTAGTAGATGATTGGCTTTTAATTCCGACCTTGCTGAGAAGGATATTGAAAAGAGAAACCTATATTTGCTAGAATTAATGAAGGAAACAATATCAGATTTACTGAAATGTCTTCATTGCTTTTCTTAACTCACTGAGTTTTCACTTTTCATTATATATTGGTCTATTTCCTGGTTTTTGTTAGCTCTTAAATGCTTTTAAGGTGATTTTTTTAAATATACTTATTTACATATATGTATTTCTCTTATTATCTGGTATTCTTAGATGTTTTCAATGGGAAAGTTTGTCCTTATAATACCACATTAGTAAAGCCATGGTTGCCTAAGTTATAAACTTACACATAATTTCTTAAGTCATTTTATTGCTTTGCCAGTAATAGCTGATTGTTCCTTTCCATGTTTCCCTTGGCTTATGACTTGATTATGTAACTTTACATTGCAAATTCTAGATCCCCATTCACTTAGCCAAAAATTTATATTTTGTCTTTTTTTTGAATGATCTTTTGTCTTTTTTGACTTAATAGAGACATGATAATATTACTATTTTTGCAACTCTCCAAAATTGCCTAGCTCTGCTTAACCAACCCAGGTAATCCATGGAGTAACACATGTTAGAGCCAGATGTTTTCATATTGCCATTTGGTACTGCCCACAACAGTGGCTACTTTAACTAGGCCTATGCTAGGCAGTGCCTTGATTTCTCCCTTGAGTGGGCCACCTGTCTAGTAAACAAAATCAGGTGTATTCAACTAACTATGGTGCAAAACCATCGGTAAAAGAAAAAGCTATAGGGCTGGGGATATAGTTCAATGGTAGAGCACCTGCCTAGCACACATGAGACCCTGGGTTTAATCTCCAGCACTGCAAAACAATAAAAATCTCTGAAATTCTTCCTTTGGCTTATAGAACATATACGTTTGAAAACAGGTTCTGCTACTTTGAGATAGTTGCATGAGGTTGGAATCTCATTAATTTTTAACTGCTAAAATGAGGGTCATAATAGTACCCAACTCATAGTGGTTGTTGAGATTTAGTTTAACATCTTTCCATGAAACATGATAATTATTCAGTAAAACTGAACCATTGAACATATTATTTATAAAATGTAAAGCGTTGTAAAATTAATTTTATCTATTTGGTTTTGATTGTTAGATGTGCTTTTTGAAAAATCGTGCTCGAAAGCAAGGTATTGACTTAAAACTTCTACCCACTGGATTCACCAAGAGGAAAGAGAATTCAACAATTTTTGATAAGAAGTAAGTTTTTACTCTTAGTATATCAGTATTTGATTTCATCAGGAGCATTCTTAAGATTTGGTTTGCTGTTGAGCCTTGCTACGTGAGTGTGATCTGTAAACTGTTTTTGGATTTCAAAATAACGATGATCATTGCATGTCAGGTGACTAACAAAATTTGGGCATGTGATATGTATGTTTTCTTTATCCTCTGAAAAGTTTCTCAGATATTAATGTGTCTAACAAAAGTTTTCTACCAAGTATCTTGTTAAATATGCTTAAAATTTAATTTTAGTAGGCCTGACTTGGACTTCAATATTGTGTATTTCTAACAATCTCACCAGGGATCCTGATCATTTGAGCAGTGCCCTCGAACATCTCATACATTAGAAATAAACTCTGTTCTTTAAGACCTAAGGTATCATCAGAGTATTTCAGGGGCTTCAAGTACAAAGTGGTAAATCATCAAAAGTGCTGTACTGTTCTAATCAAAGCAACCTAGCTTTTGTCATTGTTTCTACACTGGAATTCCAAGTAAGATTTCACTTAAAAGCCAGATATGGGGCCAGGTACAGTGGCGCACACCTGTAATTCCAGCATCTCAGGAAGCTGAGACAGGAGGATCTTGAGTTCAAAGCCAGTCTCAGCAACTTAGCGAAGCACTTAACAACTCAGCGAGACCCTACCTCTAATAAAATATTAAGAGAAAGGGCTGGGGATGTGGCTCAGGGGTTTAGCATCCCTGGGTTACCATCTCCAGAACCAAAAAAAAAGCCAGCTATGGGGAAGAAGACTTTGGAAACATTTAACAGTGAATCTTTCTGTACAGATAATACCACAAGGATTAGATTGCTGCTCTTTGAGTGTTGGGTCAAAAAGGCCCCAAGAGTACAGAGAATAGGATTCTAAAGTAGAGTCAGTATATTCCATGTCTTCAGATGCAACTTACTGCAGATTGGAAATATTGAGGTGGCGGGGTGGCTGCTGGCAGCGGGGGCTGCATCTACACTGAACATATACAGACTTTTTTTTTTTTCCTTATCATTATTCCCTAACAGTAAGTATAACAATTACTCACATAGCATTTGCTATATGGAAATACTACACTGTTTTGTATAAGCATGCACAGATTTTGGTATCTGAGAGGAATCTTGGAACCAGTTCCTTGTGTAAACCAAGAGAAGATTGAACTGTAACTAGCCAACTAAATTATTGGATAATACCTTTCAGAAGTCAACATTCTGGATATAATAAAAAAAAAAAAAACCTTTGACTTTGAGCTTCATAGTAATTGTGGGGTTTTGAGCAAATCTCTTTCTCTGAGTCTCGTTTTTATTTTTATTTGTGTGTGTTTAAGTTTTGTTTTGAGATAGTGGCTCACTATGTTGTTGTCCATACTGGTCTAGAACTCCTAGGCTCAAGTGATCCTCCCATCTCAGCTTCTCCAATGGCTGGGTCTGTAGATGTATGCCACTGCACCCTCTGAGCTTCATCTTTACAATGTAGGAAATTGAACTCTAAGGTTGTTTTCCAGTTAACTATTCCACAAATTGAAAAAAAAAAAAATAGGGCTATCAGAATTATTATTCTAGTAAGACTTTTTTCAAAAGATAATATATAATTACAAGATGATGTTATCTGTTTATTGTATATGTTGCAAGACATAAATATTTGCATGAGTGATTTTCTTTTTACCTGGTTGTTTTCCAAAAGTAAAGTAATTCTTTGTACTTATCAAGTATGAGATGATTCTTTTGTGCATTTTGAAACATGTATTTAGAAATTGACATTCTGTTGGAAATTTAGGTAACTAAATATAAATGTGTTCTGTTTTATGAAGGAAACAATTCAGAATGATTGTCATCCAAGATTAGTTCTCAGTATTAAAAAGCATATGACTCCAAGTATAACATTGTCATGTCTATACATACATGTGAGTGTGTGTAAAAAGTTTTTTTCAAGAATATTACTCTCAGTCAGTATATTTCCTGAGTTTAGTAACCAGATTTATATTTTGGAACACCCTAGGTCTCTAAAATGATAAACCAAACTGTTCTTGCATTAGCTGTTTGCTCATAAATTTTCAAAGATTTGGGGTTGCCGTTATATATTTTCAGTATTTTCCTGTGAGGACATTAGCATCTGATGCATAATATACTTTAAGGTCAGGTTCTTAGCTTATTTCCATCTAGAAAAGGGAATCTTATGTGGTTGTGGCCTTTTAGTATATTAATGGATTTGGAGAGTAACTTGAATGTAGGAAGGAATCAGTATATAGTAGCTACTATAAAAATAATACATCTGCATTATAAGATAATTTAAAGGAAAAATAGCACCTATAATCACACTCTCCAGATATAACCACTGATATTTCCTTCTCATCATATTTTCTACTTTCTTCAATTAATCAAGTAAAATATAGTGCAGAATACTTAAATAAATAAAAGTATTAAAGAATGACATAACTTTACCCTGATTAAATATTAATTTTTTGTGAATAAATGCATACACTTTTTTCCTGTAGCTAGTTTTTTTCCCACTTAACAGTGTTATAGAGTTATATTCCACCTATGATCATCCTAATTTATTTAATTATTCCCATATTCACGAACATTTAGCTGATTTCTAGTTTCTGACTATTACACATAATCCTGTAATAAACATACTTAAACAAATTGCTTTGTGTTACTCAAGGTATTTATCAGTATTCTAACCTCTACTCCTTAGATGTTGATAGCACAAACACACCCACACCTCTGTTGTCGACAACAGAATGTTGCTAGACATTGCCTCATGTTCCCTGGAGGGAACAAAAATCACTCTTTGAAAACCACTGATTTAGGTGAATACAGAAGACTTATTGATTGAAATGATAGTCTTTTCTTGGGCTAGATAATTAATACTATCAGTGTATGACAGAATTAGGATTGCAGAAAATGTTGATTGCTAAAAGGAAATGTATAATAAATGTATAAGGTAACTTTTCCCCTTTAGGGAAGATTTTAAAAAGACATTGAGAAGGGCCTTGTTTAGGATATCTGTGTCTATCATTTATTCATCTGAAAATGACTACAGTTTTAAATGATTGCAGTGATATTTGCTGGAAAGGAGGAAGAACAGAATGTTAAATCTTTTCAAAGAATTCTTTTCAGCTCCCATACCCTCAGTATTCTGTTCTAAGCAGTAGTTTTTAATTCTTTTTTTCAACTTTGAAAAATGGTTAAGGCTTTGATGGGATTCATATTGCTTCTACCATATGATACATGTTAGGTGACCTATGTAAGATCTAATTTACTTGCTTATTGGAAGGATTAAAGTAGTACCTGACACATAGTAAATAATATATAATGACTGTTAAAGATCTACATTCTCCTATCTGAAGTTCTTGATCCTTTTGTTACATTCACCCCTCATAGGTCTAGGACAGCATCAGATAATAACCTACAAATGGTCACATTATAAAACATATTGTCTGTAAACTGACTCAGTCAGATTTTGCTGCCAAAAGAGCTAGAAAAAAATCTTGTAGCTGTGGAGATTTGGAATTGCTGATATGAAATATGTTGATCATTCCTAATCTAAGAATTCAAACTTTTTGAGAGTGACATGATGCCAGAAGTGGAAAATTCAATACTTGACTTCATATGACAAGTCATAGTCAAAATGACGGTACACTAAAAATATTGTATAGCATTACCTTTGGATTGTGTATAAACATAAATGAATTTTGTGTTTAAACTTGGGCTACATTCCCAAGATATTTCACTGTGCATATGCCAGTACTCTAAAATCTCAAAAAATCAAAATCAGAAATACTGTTCCAAGTGTTTGGATAAGGATCACTCAGGCTGTACTAAGATTATTATTTATATTCTGTAATAATTGATCCTTTGTATGTATAGGCAGCTGGAGCTGCAATATAGTTAGAAACTCAAATTCAGTTTGATTTATGAGCTTATTTTTTTAAATTTTGAATTACATGTTTAGTTTGTTATTTCTTTGAGAACTATTGTATACCAAACTTTTGTATACTAAACTTTTTACACCCATGTGCCATCATGTTTAGCTAAGTTGCTTAAAAATTCAAATGTTCTAATAATGGTAACTTTTGAGGAATTTGAGTGAAAAATTCTTTTAACTGTTTTTGTAACTTTTTTATAAATGGCAAAACTATTTTCAGTGCTGGAGATCAAACTCTGGTCTTTGCACTTGTTATTGCCAAACTCTACCACTGAACTCTAATCAAAGCCCCCTGAAATTATTTTTTAAGAGTAGTTTTTAAAAACTACTTTTTTAATGTTTGCATAAATGAGTGTAATTAATGTGCCTAATATTATGCCTGTAGAACTATCAGCAAGTTACTGTAGGTAACAACAGACTAAATAGAAACCTTAGGAAAATAGGTTCATTCTAACTCAGGTATCCTTTATGGTAGTAGTTTGTGACCAGTATAAGTCTGAGTCTCCTAAAAATCAATGGAAATTATGTCATCTATGAATTTTTCTAAGAACTGTAACTTTCCTTGAAAAGTCAGAGTAGAATATAAAAGTCAGGACATGACGTAAAAATATATATTTAATAAAGATAAATTTTAGAGGATTGTTGACATTATAATAGATACCTTTAATGAACAAAGACATGTCAAGATGAAAAATAAGTTGAAGCCAAACATGGGGGTAGATGCGTGTAATCCCAGCTACTTGGGAGACTTGAGGCAGGAGGATCAAAAGTTTGAGGACAGCCTCTGCAACTTAGTGAAACCCTGTCTCCAAAAAAAGGACTGGAGATGTAGCTAAGTGTTATATTGCCTCTGGGCTCAGTCTCCAGTACTGAAGAAAAAAAAATAGTTGAGCCAAAGCAGGATTCTGTTAAAAATATAGGAGTTTGATAAGAAAATGAATCCAATAGAAGGCTTCCCTACTTAATTTTGGAGCTTATCTCAAACTACCACTTTAGAAAAGTACTTTGTTCAGAGTAAATCCTTTCTCTTATAACTTTATGTACGCTTTGACTTAGTGTTAA